GCCTCTCTCAGGCTCCCTGATGAAAACAAGCCCACTGGAAAAGTGAAGAGAATCTCTGCAATAAAGGCACACCAGACCACCGTGATTGCTAAGTTGGAGGGATCATCAGCTCCCATAGGAAACTGGACTTTCTTCAGGGGAAAAGCAGTTGAAACCTGCAGTAGAAACCTGCAGAGTGCAACCCTGCAGGAGGACAGGGAGCTCAACCTGGGACTTGCAACCAGAAATCTGCCTGAATCTCACAGGTCTGGGACTAGCTTACTCAGACTCATTGACTTATAACTGCACACTGCTGCCCACGTTGTCTATTGTGACAGCAGAGGCACACCTTGAAGGAGGCCCTATATTTTTTAAAGGTGATAGATTAATATAACTACCACAAATTATCATTCTCTAAGAGGTATTTGATGCTATGGTGTTGCTGATTGTACGACTTGGGCTAAGGTGTCGTGATTGATCTAAACAGTTTTCCTTCCTGGTATAATGAAAATGAGATAGCCTCAGAGTCATTAGAGACTCAAAACCTAAAGACCAGCTATATCTGGTAGACACCTCTGAGAAGCAATCATTCCATAAGGGTTTAAAATAGATCAACAAAGATACTTACAATAAACAACTTCATAATATGAACCCAAGAACTAAACTAGGGACAGTACCCAAAACAAAAATGAGACGGCATTTAAGCAAGTCACAAACCCAGACTTCCATCCCACAAAAGGCAATTTCTGGGGAAAATGAGGTGCAAATGTCTGATAATCAACCACCTGGACACCTCAACTGATAGCACAGGAAGTAACAAAACAGATGAATGAGGCTCTAGAAATATTCAAAGCAGAAATAATCTCCCAGATAACTACAGAGATGGTGAGCAGAGTGAAAGATATGATTAGAGGCCCTAGAATAGAAACTGATAAAAAATAGATGAGCTCAGAAACATTCTGGAAGCCAGGAATGCCCAGCATAAGAAATGGAAACCATGATTGCCCAACAAAAGAAAGAAATGGAATCCATGAAACAGATTCAAACAGATATTCAGGAGATTAAAAACTCCATTGAAAGCATGCAGAGCAGGTTAAGAGAATCTGAAGATAGAATATCAGATGTAGAAGACAGGATTGCAGAGAAGGACCATGAAAACAGAGAGTTCTTAAAAATAGTAAGGGACCATGAGAAATCAATTCAGCAGCTGCTAAATGATGTAAAGGAGAATAACATAAGACTGATAGGAGTCCATGAAAAAGCAGGAGAAAGTACAACTGACATAAAAAAAAAACTGTTCACAGGAGTAATAATAGAAAACTTCCCAGAAAGAGGAGGAGAATTGGACATACAGATAAGCAAGGCATATAGAACTCCACCCACCCATGATCAAAAAAAATCTGCACCTAGGCATATAATAGTCAAGATCCCAGAAACCCAACAGAACAACAGATTCCTACAGGCAGTTAGA